AGGGCAAAGTCTGAATAGGGAGAAGTGTGATGAGGACTGGGAGCTGGCAAATCTTCTACCAGGAGGTAGAAGGAAGAGCAAGAGAGACCAATCAGACTAGCATCACCACAGAATCTGTTCTACCCAGGCTCCCAGTGCCTCCTAGCTGGGCTGTGACCACCCTCCACAGTCTCAGTTCATTCTTTTTGTTTGTTGTTTGAACCCTGCAACGTTTTGCACCATGCTCCACTGTCTTACTTCTTGAGATTTTTCTCTTCTACCAGCTCCCACCAAAGCCTTCTCTCAGATTTTCTAGTACTGCTTCTTTCTTTTCTCCAGTGGCTCTTCTCTCTACATCATGGAAAAATGTTCATGTCCCAGAGGGTTCTCCACCCAGCCCACATCTCTTAAGTAATCTTGTGAATGTACATGTTTTTTTACCAATATATATGCTAATAACTTCAGAAGTTTTAGAGTCACATTTCCGACTGCTTCTGATCTATTTCCACCTGGTAGTTAGTTATACTGCTGTAAATCCACATACATTCAGGCTTATTTTCCCCAGGGTTTGTCTCCAACATATTCCTTCTCCTATAATATCTAGTTCAGTGACTGGGAGCAGCTCCAATCATTTACGGAAAACAAAAACAAAAACAAATTAAAAAAACACCACAGGAATCATTCTTGACTTGAGTCTTTTCTTCAACTCCCATCTCCAATGACCACGTGAATCCTCCTGAATCTGTTGTGGCTGTTCCCCTCTTTCTATTGCAACTATGGCTGTATTAGGCACTTACTGCTTACCTGGAAAACTAAAATAACTTCCTGCCTCCAGTCTCTCTCCCTAATCCACCATACATGCTGCAACACGATTTCTCTTCCTAAAATATACATCTGATGTCATTCTCCATGTATTGTGTATACAGCCTCATTGCCTCCCATTCCCCACTCCTCCCTCCACCCTCTGTATTCCAGCTCCAACAGATCACTAAGCCATTTCCACATTATATGGTGTTTTTCCATATTGTTATACATGTGATATGAAAACTCTCTACCTGATAAGCTCCTCTCACTTTCCCTCCAGTGCAGGAAATTGTTACCATTCTTCAAATATTACCTCCTCTATAAAGCATTCTATGACTCATCACATGGTTAATTATCCTCTACCTGTAACCTCATAGTATTATGTAACTACTGTAGTCTGCCATGTTAACCACGATTACTCATCTCCACATCGTTCATCTAGTATGGTGTTAAGTTCACCACAGGGCTTAATGAAAGTTTCTGGAGTAAAGATATGAAAACATGAATGAACAAAGGGTCAATTTGTCTTTATTATTCTCCATCGTGCCTGAACCCAAAATGTTCCTGGAAGGGAATCTGGAAGCACTCTTCTGAGTATTACATGCCTAAAGTGGCCACTACTAAAGTCACAAGATCAACTTCAAGGCAAATTACTGAGCACCCTTAAGATTAAAAGGTGGTTATGAGTCTTCGAGGTGTGGTCAAACCACAGTTGACAAGGCCTTTTCCCTCCTGAGTTCACTCATCGAATACACTTGTACTGAGCACTTACCATCTACTGGACACTGTGCTAAATAGGCACAGGGGACCAAAAGGACTCACCATTAGTTATGACCACAGGCAAAGCAGCACATAAGACAGAATTCCTTCATTCAGCTCAGCCTGATTGAGCACCTTTATGTGCCACGCTCTGTTCTAAGTGCTAAAGGTATAATAATAAAAGGATAGACAAGCACCCCGCCCTCACACAGATAAGGAACAAGAGCAGTGAAATATATAAAATAGGAGATAGTGGCAAGAACTTAGGAGAAACAAATAAACATGGATGGGAGAGAGGAAGTGGTGGGAAAGGATATAACAAATTTACATAGGGTGGCCAGGGAAGGTTTCATAACATGTGTTAACACAGAGATGTGAAAAAAGGGTGGTGGGAACACAAAGAGGGAATTATTTCTTCAAAGGTAGCTGGAGAAGGCTTCACACAGGACAGGATTTTTGAGGTGGGTTTTGAAGGATGAATAGTGTGCCAACAAGAGTTTTGGAACTGAGAGGCAAGTCAATCAACCTAGGTCTAAGGTGGATCACTTTGGAGGCAGCATGTAGGCCATAATGGTGGGGTTAGACCATGAAGGAGGGCCGGGTAGAAGGCTAATGTAACAATCTAAGGAAACAACCACTGTGTTCGGATAGCTGACTCCGAGTCAGACCTCACACTTTACATATCTGAAACAAACTGGTGTCCACTTCAAAATGCCAATGAAATGATAATGCTTTGTCAAATACACATAAAAAATTCACATTTTGCTTCAGAATCTACAACTGATGCTCTTATTTAGGACTTTAAGTAGGAAATACTATGGTGACTATGCTTTTAGGCTTCTACATAACCACTTAAATGGCTTTCTTTATCTGTTTTCTGCCATTAGCAGCTTGCTTTTACACTTGGACTAAGTGCTGTGGTCAATCAGTCAAAATGTTTATGTAAAGCTTAGTGGAAGAAGAAAAAAGTTAGAAGTCAGTGTCAAATGGGCATTTTCTTCACCCATTTAGCACTAATACCCACCTTCTAGGGTGCCATAAGGAAACAAAATAAAGCTTGCTAAGTGTTTTCCCAATTACAAAAGAATTACATGCTCCTTCCAAGTGGAAGAAAAAATACAAAGCATGCCTAATTCCATCCACTGTCCAAATACCCCAAGTACTAAAATGTTTGAGGTATTTCCTTCTGGACTCTTTCTACAGGTAGTTTTGGTTTGTTTTACATCAATGAGACCACAAAATATACACAATCATGTCACAGCACCATGGGTTAAATAATTTCCTCAGTTTATCATCAATGACAGCATTAAATGGAACAGGTGTATGTGTGACTGGTCAACAAGCTTAAAGTCTCAGAAATGAAGACATCATTACAGTTGTATTAATTCTAAATTTTTGATGATTTTCCACTACATTAGCACAAAAATATCTCAGTATGTCCCAATTCGACCCTTAGGAGCTATACAGTATGAGTCTAATCCCTGCTCTACAGAAGGCACTTCAAATATTCCAAGGTACCTCTGTTACATCTCCCTTTGTCTTCTTTTCTTCACAGGAAAGACCAACATTTATTTCAATCATTGCTCATACTGCAGGCCCTCCACTAGCCTGGTTCCCTTTGTCTCAACTCTCTCTAGTTTGTCAGTTTCCTTCTTAAAATGTGGCATCTGGATTTGAACATGACACTTCAGAAAAGACTGCCATCTCATTTTGTTTGGCTGTTATACTTTTCTTAATTCAGCCTACAGGTCTATTAATTTTGTAATCAATCATGTCCTATTACTGGATCAAATAAGCTTAGACCCCAATTAGGACAACCCCTTCCATCCTTTACTGATACAACTGTAAATGTCATTTATCCTAAACTTCCTATTATTAGTTTTACTTCAAAATCCTAGCCAATTAAAACTGTTTTCAACTCCGATTCTGTCATCTAGAACAATGACTAGTTTGGTGTTTTTCACGTATTGGACACACATGCTTTTATGTGCTCATTTGCACTGCATTAAAAACAGTGGAGACAAAGGGCCTGCACTACAAGATGTGAACAACCACCTTTCCTGGTTGTGATCAAACCTTTAATTCACAGTCTATAACTCCATCTAAGTGCACCACCACATTTTGGTCCATATTTCTTTGTCAGGGTCTGTCATATGCCTTGATTCAACTAAGACAATGAGAATAACACTCCCAATGTTTGCTTTCTTTTCTAGGTGAAATGATTAATTCTACAATTGCTGCCAATTGTTCCCAAGGGCTGACATCCAGCTCTTTGCTCTGTTAATTTCCAGACTCGTTCTGCATTTTGGAAGACGAGGAACATTCGTTCAGCTCCAAACTTATTTAGAAGCTGGAATAGAGTCATATAAATGAAATACCCAATCTCAGGACCCTGTGGGTCTATGAGCACTAAAGAAGTGGACTCCTACAACTAAGGCAACAAGAGTAATAATCAGCATTCTTCAGACTTTGAACACAATATTGAACATTAAAAAAAAAATCAAGAGGCAACCTAATCTAGATTAGAACTGTCTTGAAGAAACTGCAGGGTAAAAGCAATAAAACAAAAGTGAGATATCCCCAACAGTCTCAGCATCTCCTGTATGTAAGTTACTGTTGAGCTCCCTTCCGTATACCCTGGACTTATTTACTACCCCTTGGTCCATCTCCTCAAAATAAAGCTGCCCCTTCAGGCCAGCCTGGGCAATGACAACCCACCATATCTACCATAGGTCCTTTCATGACAGCCACAGCAGTTACTCACTCCTTCTTTCCCTTCTGGAGAACATTGTCTCCATCTCATTGTTTCACCAATGGAACATTCTTTGAAATGCTGTGGCAAGCATTTCATGGTTGGAGGATGAAAAGGTAGAGACACTAAGCCACACCGTAGTCAGCTTAGTTCTAAACTGCTACCTCCTGTTTTGTAATTGAACACTTGGAAAGTTCTAGAGCAGTGGGCCTGAACTAGGGGTTCACATCAGCATCCTACTCTGCAATGTTTAAAAATTACACCTGTGCCTGGACCACAGGACTGAAAGTTCTGATACAATACATCTAAGGCACATAGTATTTGTTTTTTACACAAAGGGGAAGGGAGGGAGAAAGAGAGGGAGAGAAACATCAATGTGTGGTTGCCTCTCATGTGCCCTCTACTGGGGACCTGGCCCACAACCCAGGCAGGTGCCCTGAATGGGAATTGAACTAGCAGACGGGTACAATTACCAACCCCTCCCCACTATTATGAGAGACAAAACTTCTTATTTTTTGATATACTCTATTCCTATACATACAGGTGTTAGTATTAAATAAGCTTTGCATAAGCCAAAAATTAAGAATTGAGAAGCGAATATATCCCCCATGTTAATCTGATCCACAATCTTGCAAGGTAGAAGAGAAACAGTTTAGCATTATCTTTAGCAGTTAGGGTCATCTTTATGGTCTTAAATTCTACTTACCATTTCCAAACTTCTTAAATAAAGACGATAATTTGTGATGTAAACTCTTCCCTTAATGGGGCCATTGAAAGGACATATGTAAATAACTTCTTTGTCTATTAAGATAAAAAAAGTACCCTAAAATAATGGAAATATATACCAAGATACACAACAAATGGTACTAATTTAATATCAATGCTTTGGCTAGGAATAACTACGATAAAAAAATCACTCAAAAGATTGAAAGTAAGCACTGGCAATGTTTCTACATTACCATGCTAGGTCCAGTGGGGCTCCTGAGAACTAGTGGGGCCACATGTCACCTCCAGTCACTAGTGGTGTTCCCTGAGCTTGCCCACAATGTTGTCACTACTTGTGACAAGGTGCTAACAGCTGGAGAGCAGAAGTGAATGAGGGTTTTGCTGTTGCTACCTACAGCAGGTCATAAAGGTAACTACTGAGCTATTTAAACCAGAGAAGTGCAATTCCCACAGTGTCATGGACTAACCACCAGATAGGATTTGAGATTTACCAACCTCTAATCACACAAAAATTGTGATGCTTTTAATAAATGAATACCAGGAGTAGAGATACTTCTATAGTCTACTTTTTTCTCTTTTAATAGTCCAGATGAGAGTTTAGCTTGATTTCAGATATTTAAATAATATATAACAGATGGCCAAGAGACTAGTACATCTTTGGTAGAATCAAACATAAGGAGAAACTAAACTAGGAAAGTTAAGTTATTATAAAAAAGTAAAGATCCTTCCTTTTTCTTCTATGGATGTCCTTGAATGTGTTAATGACTTTTAATTTTTTAAAACAAGTTTGAAATCCCTTTCTCCTCAAGTGCTAAATGGAAAATACCCAGTAAGGCTACCTCATGCTAATTGAGTTACTACATGCCAGTTAAGGTTCTGGCACTGATATAGAGTACCAAAATTTCATATATGAAGATCACCAAAAGTAACCTATCCTCTTTTCTCTTATCCAGAAACTGAAATGGTTTTAAGACTAGAATCATGCTTGCAAATCTGTGGATATGAAATAGTTTCTTCTCGTTCATAGCTAACTAATTCACAAAGGCACCATATCTATGACCTTAATCTAATCAGCACCATGCCTTATCCATTTAAGCTAAACAACCAAAATCTTAGTCAATAAACCAAAACGTTTTCTGAAACAATGGTAACTGTACCACCACCAATTATATGGGAATCTGAGAGGGCATCAACCCTTAGTAAAATGTGAAAGCCCACACTACTGGCTCTTAGCTTAGAACCTGTTAGATGCTTCTTTATTCTTAAAGTAGAATAATCTGATCCTTCCAAAGTAGATACTTACCTCTTAATGTAAATGTATAATAAAAAAGTAAGTCAGCAATCAAATTGTTACATAAATACTACTAACATCAGTTATCTGACAAGTCAAACATATAACCATTAAGGTCTATATTTCAAAGATAATACTGAGACTTAAAGCATACATCATAGACTAGAAAACCTTAATATCATTTTGTTCTTATAACCTCAAACCATGAGACCTTATCACTACAATAAGTAACTTTCAAGAGATAGTCCACATTTTTTCTAAAAGAATTCTGTCTTTGGTACACAGAAAAACATAAAATTATGCTGGAGAGCATGAAGCTCTTGAAAGAACTCTTTGATCAAGAAAGTAATGCACAGAGTTTGCTCCATATTAACACTTTTAAACAAAGCTAGACTATTTGTCTAAATTTGACTTCTACAATCATGAGGAATAGAAGCCACTTGACCCTGCTGGGCTTCCCATCAATTTATGCAAATCCTAACTTCATAGGATCCTTACCAGTAATGTGAGTTTCTCCTGGAAGTCGGGGAACAGCCTCACTGAGATCTCGATTGACTGCATCCCTGGAAGTCTGGAAATGAGAGTGGTGTCAGAAGTAATGCCATTACATTTGCCCACATTTTAAGCAACTTGGAATATAACAGACCAGAAATATACTTTTCAAATGAGAAATATTTACCATTATAGAACATCGGCAAGGTAAGGTCAAACTGAAAAATATAGCTTACCCTCAAAATTGATTAGCTCTGATAATTGTTAGTCTGCAAATAATACCAACACATTTCTTTTATAAAAAGTAAACTTTATTAAATGCATATTACGTATCATGTCCTGGGGGTTTTAAATATACTTTATTGATTATGCCATTACAGTTGTTACATTTTCCCCCTTTGTTCCCCTCCACCTGGTGCCACCATTCTCTCCAATAATGCCCTCTTAGCTCATACACATGGGTCATGGATACAAGTTTCTTGGTTTCTCCATTTCCTATACTGCTCTTAACATCACCCCATTTCTATTACAACTACATATTTGTACTTCTTAATACCTGCACCTTCCCCCCATTCTCCTCCTTCCCCCTCCCAGCTGATAAACCTCCAAATGATCTCCATATCTATGATTCTGTTTCTGTTCTGCTTGTTTGCTTAGTTGGATTTTTAGATTCAATTGTTCATAATTTTGGCTTTTTAAATTTTTATTTTATTTTATTATTGTTCAAGGACAGTTGTTCATAGTTTTGAATTTACTGCCATTTTAACCTTCGGAATTTTCTATTGTTCTTCAACTAGAGCTCTCTCCATTTTCCAACCCCCTCCACTCCTGCCACCCACCCCATTCCCACCTCCCACCCTTGATCCTACTCCCTTTAACCTGTCCATGTGTCCTTTCTACTTTTTCTTTGACAGCCACTCTCCCTTTCCTTCCCATTATCCATCCCACATCCCCTCTGGTTACTGTCAATCTGTTCTTACTTTCAATGTCTCTGGTTATATTTTGCTTGCTTCTTTGTTTGATTAGGTTCCACTTATAGGTGAAATCATATAGTATTTGTCCCTCACTGACTGGCTTATTTCACTTAGCATAATGCTCTTCAGTTCCATCCATGCTTTTGCAAATGGTAGGAGCTCCTTCCTTTCTGCTGTATAGCAAGCATTCAATTAGGTAAACGTACCACAATTTTCTGATGGGCACGTAGGTTGCTTCCAGTACTTGGCTATCATAAATTGTGCTGCTGTGAACACTGGGGTGCATAAGTTCTTTTGGATTGGTGTTTCAGGATTCTTAGGGTATAATCCCAATAGTGGTATTGCTGGGTCAAAAGACAGTTCCATTTTGGTTTTCTGATGAAATTCTGTACTGTTTTCCACAGTGGCTGCACCAGTCTGCATTCCCACCAACAGTACACTAGGGTTCCCTTTTCTCTTCAACCTCTCCAACATTTGTTGTTTGCTGATTTCGTAATAATGGCCATTCTGACCAGTGTGAAGTGCTCTCATATTGTGGTTAAATTTGCATCTCTCTGATGGCTAGTGATGCTGAACATCTTTTGATATGTCTCTGGGCCCTCTGTATGTCCTCCTTGAAGAACTGTATGTTCAGGTCCTTTGCCCCTTCCTTCCTTCCTTCCTTCCTTCCTTCCTTCCTTCCTTCCTTCCTTCCTTCCTTCCTTCCTTCCTTCCTTCCCTCCCTCCCTCCCTCCCTCCCTCCCTCCCTTCCTGCTGCATAGAATTCCATTGTGTAAATGTACCATAGTTTTGGGGTTCATTCATTTACTGATGGGCACCTGGGTTGCTTCCAACTCTTTGCTATTGTAAATTGTGGTGCCATGAACATTGGGTTGCATAGGTTCTTTTGGATTGGTGTTTCAGAGTTCTTAGGATATAATCCTTTGGAGACGAAACACTTGTCCAAGGTATCATTTACAAATATATTTTCCCATACGGTTGGTTCTCTTTTCATTTTAATGCTGTTTTCTTACAGCTGTGCAGAAGCTTTTTATTTTAATGAGATAAATTTGTTTATTTGTTTATAAGGTTTGTTCATTTGTTTATAGGATTTGTCCCATTTGTTTATTTATGTCCCTGGCTCTAGGGGATATATCAGTGAAAATGTTGCTGTGTGGGATATCTGAGATTTTCTTATCTATGTTCTCCTCTAGGACTTTTGTGATGCTATGACATATATGTGTATATATAAGTCTTTTATCCACCTTAAATTTATTTTTGTTTATCGTGTAAGTTAGTAATCAAGTTTCATTTTTTTTGCATGTAGCTGTCCAGATCTCTCAACACCGTTTGTGGAAGAGGCTATTTTTACTCCATTTTATGCTTCTTCTCCTTTGTTGAGTATTAATTGACCATAGAGACTTGGGTTTATCTAGGCTCTCTGTTTTTTTCCATTGGACTATGTGTCTATTCTTATGCCAGTAAGAGACTGTTTTGATTACGTGGCCTTGTAATATAGCTTCATATCCAGTATTGTGATACCTCCTCCTTTGTTCTTTCTTAAAATTGCTGTGGTAATTTGGGGTTGTTTATGGTTCCATACAAATTTTTGAAATGTTTGTTCTGTATCTGTGAAATACGTTAGTGGTATTTTAATAGGGATTACATTGCATCTACAAATTGCTTTGGGTAGTAAGGATATTTTGATGATGTTAGTTGTTCTAATCCATGAACACGGTACATGCTTCCACTTATGTGTCTTGCTTAATTTCTTTCTTCAGTGTTGTGAAGTTTTCTGAGTATAGGTCTTTCACCTCCTTGGTAAGGTTTATTCCTAGGTACTTTATTTTTCTCGTTGCTATAACAAATGGAATTTTTTTTCCTGATTTCTCTTTCTGATATTTCACTGTTGGTGTACAAAAATGCCTTCAATTCCTGAACATTGACTTTGAATCCTGCTGTTTTGCCAAATTTGCTTATTAGGTTGAGTAGTTTTCTTGGTGGAGTCTATAGGGTTTTCTACATACACTATCATATCATATCATCTGCAAACAGTGACAGTTTTACTTCCTCCTTTCCAATTTGGATGCTTTTCATTTCTTTTCCTTGTTTAATTGCTGTGGCTAGGACTTCCAATGCTATGTTGAATGGAAGTGGTGAATGCAGACATCATTGTCTTTTTCCTGATCTTAGTGGGAAAGCTTTTAGTGTTTGTCTGTTGAGTATGATGTTGGCTGTAGGTCTCTCCTATATGGCCTTTATCATGTTGAGGATGCTCCCTCTACTCCCACTTTATAGTGTTTTTATCATAAATGGGTGCTGTCTATACCTTATCAAGTGCTTTTCCCACATCTATTGCTATGATCGTGTGATTTTTGTCTTTCCTTTTGTTTATGTGATATATTACGCTTATTGATTTGCAAATAATGTACCATCCTTGTGTCCCTGGGATGAACCCCACTTGGTCACGATATATGATCATTTTACTGTATTGCTGAATGTGTTTGCCAATATTTAGTTGAGGATTTTAGCATCTATGTTCATCAGCAATATTGGCCTGTAGTTTTCTTTCTCTTCTGTGTCTTTATTTGGATTTGGCACTAGATTGGTGGTAGCTTCACAAAAAAGGTTGGGAGTCTTCCCTTTTCTTGGATTTTTTGAAATAGTTTGAGAAGGATATGGGTTAGCTCTTCCTTAAATGCTTTGTAGAATTCTCCTGTGAAACCATCCTGTCCAGGGCTTTTGTATGTTGGGAGTTTTCTTTTTTTATTACTTTTTTGATTTCTTTAGCTGTTATCAGTCTGTTCAGGCTTTCTGCTTCTTCTTCAATCAGATTTGGAAGATTATATTTTTCTAGAAATTTGTCCATTTCTCCCAGGTTTTCAAATTTGTTGGCATATAGTTGTTCTTAGTAATTTCTTATAATCCATTGTATTTCTGTGGTATCAGTTGTTATCTTTTTTCATTTCTGATATAGTTTATTTGGGTCCTCTCTCTTTTTGTCTTGATAGTCAGCTTAAAGGCTTCTCAATTTTGTTTATCTTTTCAAAGGACCAGGTTCTGGATTTATTGATCCTTAGAATTGTGCTTTTAGTTTCTATGTCATTTAATTCTGCTCTGGTCTTGGTTATTTCCTTCCTTCTACATGCTTTCGGCTTTGTAGGTTGTTCCTCCAGTTCTTCTTTATGTAGGGTTAGGATGTTTATTTCAAATGCTTCTATCTTTTCTAGGTAGGCCTGCATACCTATTATCTTCCCTCTCAGAACTACCTTTGTTGTGTTCCATAACTTTTTGACCATTTTGAGTTAATTTTCATTTGTCTCTAGAAATTTTCTGTCTCTTCCCTGATCTCTTTCTTAATGCATTTATTAATAGCATGGTATTCAAACTCCACAAACTTGAGTGTTTTTGAGTTTTTCCCTTGAGGGTGGTTTCTAGTTTCAGGACTTTGTAGTCCGAGAACACGCTTGATATGATCTCAATTTTCTTGAATTTGTTCAAGCTTGTTTTGTGTCTTATTATGGGATCGTGATCTATCTTTGAAACTGTTCCATGTGCATTTGAAAAGAATGTGTATTTTGCTTCTTTGGGATGAAAGGCTCTCTATATATTAGTTAAGTCCATTTGATCTAGGGCATTGTTCAATGCTGCAATATCATTATTGATATTTTGTTTAGAAGATCTATCCATTTTTGACAATGGAGTGTTAAAATCCCCTAAAATAAGTGTGTTGCTCTCTGAATCTTTCTAGAAGTACTCCAAAGTTTTTCCTTATATATTTGAGTGCTCCTATGTTGGGGGCATATATGTTTACAATGTTTCTGTGTTCTTGATGGATTCTTCTCCTGAGTATTAACTACAAAGTGTCCTTCTGTGTCTCTTTTTATGGCCTTTGGTTTGAAGTCTATTTTCCCTGATATAGGTATGGCTTCCCTGGCTTTCTCTTTCCTGTCCATTTGCTTGGAATATTTTTTCCCCAACCTTTTACTTTCAGTCTATGAAGGTCTTTTGTTCTGAGATGAGTCTCTTGTAGGTAGCATATGTGTGGGTCATGTTTTCTTCTCCATTCAGCTACCATATGTCTTTTGATTGGAGCATTTAATCCATTCAGGTTTAAGGTTATTAC